AGAACTTCTGTCTTGATAAGACATTTGGTAGAGGAACCTGAGTTTCATTTTCACAAGTATTTAAAATTACGGGAGGAAGATAGACAACTCGTTTCCATGTGATAAAGAATATCGTCATGGTGAATGATTTGGGAAAAACAGACTTAAAAACTTCATTATATTTTTTGTTGTTGTTATGGGAAAGGAGATTTTTATTTTCTTCTTCCCATGCTGTGGAAAGACACTGTATTCCCCAGTTTAATTTCCTTCTTCAATGGGAAAAAGAATAAAAGGTTCTCTGGGTCTCAGAGCTAAACTGCTCCTATATGGACCCAGCCAAGACAGGACGCACAGATTGTTGACTGATTCCAATTCTACCTGACACTGACCACCACTGAAGCGCAGGCAAGTGACGTAAAAACTTCATTATAGTTTTATGTTTTGTGTTTTTTAAAAATGGTCTTATTTCTATTTTTAAACATGTATATGTGTGTGTCTGTGTGAATGTATACACTTGTGTGCAAGTGCCAGTGGAGGCCAGAAGGCTTTAGGTCCCTTGGAGATGGGATTACAGGCAGTTGTGACCCACCGGAGGTGGGGGCTGGGAACTGAGTCTCAACTCAGTGGGTGCTCTTAACACTGGTCCAGATCTCCAGCCCCACATTCTTTACTCATGGAAATGAGTTGTGTGTGATTGATCATTCTGTAATGCTACTTCTATATAGTAGGTAGTTACACAAAACTCAATTTGATCCAAATTTTATAGTGTCACTTTAAATAGAGCCCAAATGGCATTGTATAAGAAAGTCAAAGAGCCTATGAATGGCTCAAAGTTTAGTGGTTCTTGTTGGGTTTTTTATGTCTGTAGTTAAGGTCAAAGACACTGGAACCATATTCTTTGGTACTGAATCTCAGTTAATCTACTTTTGTCTATGTGACTTGGGGAAAAGAACTGATTCTTATATCTATTTCCTTCTTTATAAACTTGTTAATGTCATAGTATTTACCATGTACACAATTCAGTATGTTAATACCTACAGCTGTCATTCTATTTTTTGAATACTGAGGTCTTTTGGAGTTAATAATAGTCATTAATACTTATTTATATGCCAGGTACTTTGTTCAGTTAGTTAATCCTTGTTACTTTTGTACATTTGTTGGTCTAAGATATTGATGCAATGAGAATTCATTGAAGACCACAAGGCTAGTCAAGTGCTAGAGACAGGCTTTATGTCTCAGCATCTTGATCTCAGAGCTCATATCTTAGATATTATATTATATAGTAGAGTATACCTAACCAACAATAAAATAGCCCTTCTAAACTAGTGAGCACCAATCTAGTCTGTTATTAATGGGTGGAATTTTGCTTTGAATGCGTTTTTTTCTTAAGCTATGAATGTTTTTCTCTAATAGTCATTGAGACCTCTTTCTAAATGCCAAGAAAGTACTTCTTTTTGTCTTTTAATAAATATCAGTTAAAATAACAATAAACAAAACAGTAGATACACATTCCATTTTCAGCAAAACTAGGAGATATCTCTAGCCCCCATCTATAGTATACAAAGATGGAAAGCAGATAGAAAACTTGTGGATAACTCAGCAGTGAGAATGTCACATCTAGACATATGCAGAGAGACATACTGATGATAAGCAGACTGAGTCATCTAGCATAATCCAAGAAAACCTCAAGAATCCTAGGGACTAGGTAGGATGGAAGGTGGGTGAGGCTGAGTGGGTGATGTGTGTGATATGCAAACAGGAGGGTTGTTTGAATTAATTTAGTTTTCTGGTCCTCACCCTTTTCTGGCACTAACAGCAACAACTTACCCATTTCTTCAGACATCAAAGGTATAATCTGTGAAGAACTGAACCTGAGGGACCGTAAAGTGGAGTGTAGGAGGAAGGAGAATTGAAGTAGTTGTACATATTGGGAGTGCTTTCAGATTCCTTCCCTTGCTCTATGTTATTAGCAACAAGAATTCCAGCTGTCTTTATGTTCTTACACTTCCTCAGATAGAACATTGGAAATCCTCTTTTTTCCCCTCTGAAGACATTGCATACTCCAGAGAAAAATCTCTATAACTATTGACATACAGATTTTCCTGATGAAAAACCCAACTGGCTTCCTGACTGTCCTGTAGTGAAGCTTACCACTCAGAAAGCTTTGCCTAACAGCACATATCTTCCAATCACTTTTTTCAGTGTCTCATCCTTAGACATGCACAGAACTTATTACCACTAGTTAGTTAAGAAAACCTCCATCAGGAAGAACAGGACTAAAGCCAGCAAGCAAACAAACGAATAAGTAAGTACAAACCCCACAACTCTCAGAAGAAAGAGGAAAACTTTGAGAAGATACAATGCTTCTGAAAAATGAGTTAAGTTTATATGCATGAAGTAAGAATGTATTGCTATGAAAATGGAATGAGAAAGAAGGAAGCTCACAAGGAAAATATTCAATAGGAAGGCAAATGTAAATAAGGACACCTCTCAGGAAGTAGAACTAAAAGACAGTGAGATTCAAAATAAGATAAATAAAATAGATGATCTGGGGTTAGAGCTTAGTGGTACTTGTCTAGCAAGCAGGAGATTCTGGATTCAGTCCTTGGTATTTAAAGAAACTCAAGATTAAGATGAATGATCAGTGTTGAGGTCCATCCTGACTTTAAGAAACTGCCGAGAGAGAAAGAATAGAGGAAACAAAAGGAAGAAAATTATCAAATAAAAAGAAAACTGCCAGGACTAGAAATATGTGTTTTATACATACAGTAGGGTACATCGTAATGTAATTGCACGTCTAGTTGATTTCTCTTGCCTCTTTCTAATCTGTTTTCCTCTGCTTTTTTGGGAGGCTGGAAGGTAAAAACTTTTCAACTTCCTTGAAGTCTACTGAAGAAACTACTTTTTCTGCTGTCACCTCTACTGTTTTCTGGTCCTTTCTTTTCTCACTTTTCCTTTATGGAGTGTTAGCAAGATACCTACTGCCATAGTAGTCATTTTGTGGCAAGAGAGTCACAGAGAATAAGCTCTGATATTCTGAATTGCTGCATCAGTGTAAGCAATTACCCCCTCTGGATAACATGTAACACTGGGCAGAGGGCTGGGAGTGGGGCGTGCAGTTCCCTGTTTGGCTGAGCTATTGTGTGTGTTTTGGTTTTGTTTTAGGGTTTTTTTTTTTTTTTTTTTTTTTTTGAGACAGGGTCTCCCTGTAGCCCCAGCTGGCCTGGAACTCACTATGTAGACCAGGCTGGCCTTGAACTCACAGAGATCTGCCTGCTTCTGCCTCTGGAGTGCTGGGATTAAAGGCATGTACCACCACGCCTGGCTGTTGTTTTAGTTTTTTTTTTTTAAACTACAAATTAACAGTTGTAACTCTTAGAGAGCACCAAACAAACAAACAAACCAACCAACAAGCCAAAAACCAAAAACCAAACAAACTCAGATATAAAGGTTGGGACTAGTGATACTGGATTTCTTTAGAGCAATGTTTGAGAGTAGGAGATAATAGAACAGTGACTGAATAATTCTGAAAGAGAGCAATTTTCAGCCTTGAATTTTTTTACATTGTCAAAATATCAGTCAGGTCTGAGTGACAGAGATATGTAAAATTTAGAAATATTTACCTCTAATGCACCTTTCTTGGGAAGCTAATGGAAGGTAGAGTCTACCAAGTTGAAGGTATAAACCAAGGAAGAGGAAAGCACAGAAACTTGGAAAGACTGGCTCACATACAGACAGGGGAACAGGGAACAGCCTATAAGGCCAGTGGACATTAGAGCAGGGCCAGACTTCTAGGGGGCCTTGAAACAGGGAGAAAATGACTAATCTAATAGATTTGATTTTAATGACAATTGTTTTTTATTCTTTGTGTGTGTGTGTGTGTGTGTGTGTGTGTGTGTGTGCATGTACACACATGTGTGCAAATGCCACAGCACATATGTGGAATCCAAAGAACAGTTTCAGGAATTGGTTCTCTTTTTCTTCCACATGGGTCCTGGAGATTGGATTTAGGTTATCAGACTTGGCCACAGGTGCCTTTACCTGCTGAGCTATCTTGCTGACTCAGATGACAGTTATTTTTTTGAAGTGTCTTTGGAGTTATTGGAGAGTATTACATACATACTTTAGTAAGCATTGTTTACTTAGTCACAACAGTTATGGAGAAAGCTCTAAACTGCCTTTATCATCTTGGGAAACTAGGATGGAAAAGATTTATTTGGACATAGGAAAAACCTTTATGCCATGTGGGATATCAGCATGTCAGTACATACACATGATTTTAAAGCATGGAGTTAAATGCCAGAAACAGCTGCTGAAGGAGTTCATCTAGGGACAGTAGTGCCTTCATGGCAAGGTGGCCTGCTGGGGCTGCTGCAGGACTCTTGGGTTTTAAGCCTTTTAGCACTGTTTGTCTATGCACATGTTACTACTTTGAAAAAAGACTTTTTAAAAAAGCTCAGCAGTAGGGAAACTCACGTTTTAGACTATTTCTGAACACGCAGTGTTCTGTGTAGACTCTTCTGAAATGTTCTTCTTTTTGTGTCCTAGGAAAATCCTTCTCATTTTGTGCAACTTAGTGGAAGTGAAGTGAAGCCATCTGTGATCCTCCTAAGCAGAGTTAGGGTCTCCTTTCTCAATGCTATGGAACTTCGTGCTATTTTGTGCAGCACAACTTATTTTAGGGGGGCTTGTTTTCATGCTTATCCTCTAGCATTGGATTGAGGAGTGGCTTTTAAAATATTTTTTTACCACATCTATAACATAGTGGGTACTCAGTAAAAGTTGAATGAAATAATATACATTGAATATAAGTTGGGAAACCTGTATAAAGGCTTGACCCTGCTTTTTTATGGGTTCCTTGCCTTATCAATGCACTTTACATATCGATGTTTTAGATTTCTCTTAGCCAAACTGAATGTAGTGAATCTTTAGGGTCCTTAAGAGTTAAGAGTCTTTCTTCTAATGATTCTTTTTATTAATGATCCCAATTGTTTTTTCTTCTTTTTTTTTTCCTAAGTTCACATCAGATGCCTAATGTGCCAGTGAGTAATAAGGTTTGAGGGCGGCACATGTCATGCAGGTGCATGAACACCCAATCATCACACTTGTGAACCTAAAAAGGGTCTAATGATCCCAATTTTATAACTTAAAATCCATGATGATAAGACTCTTCCTAGCTTGGGAAAGTAGCTCAATTGGTAGAATGCTTGCCTAGTGTATACTAAAAGCCCTGGGTCTAATCTGTAGCCTCGCACAAACAGAGCATGGTGGTTCATTGGTATTATTCTAGTACTGCCTCAGGGGTGGGGGAAAAGTGTACTTCCTACAGCTTGATCCTTTCTAGCACTTAACAAAAATTTTAAATATTTGGTGGCTTTAGTATTTTTTGTTGTTGTTGTTAGACAAGGTCTCTCTCGTGTGGATCAGGCTGGCCTTGAACTCATGATGTACATAATCAAGGATGATCTTGAACTCTTCATCCTCCTGTCTCTACTGGCTAAGTGCTGAGATTAAGGTGTGTTCCACCATACCTGATCTGTCAGTTTTCTTTTTCAATCTGTTTTCTCTATAGATGACAAACTTCTAGACAACAAGGAAATGTGCACATTTTTTTACAGCATTGTTTCTCAGTATCTGTTAGAGCCTGGCATATGTGGACACACAATAAACATTTATTGAATAAACATATCCTGGTGGTTATTTTATGGATATCCTGGAAATCCAGTTGTTCTTCCAAACATTTTAGAAAAGTATATGTGAGTCGAAATCCAGTCACTGGGATTTTGCCATGTTGCCCTTGTCAGCTGTTATGAAACACCACTTCCCTCTCACTACTTGGAAGGCTTTCCATTTCCTGTGCATTGAGTGCTGTTTCACTCCTTTAATTACCTCTTCAAGATTTCATTCTTTCACGAGGCCTGAGTTAATCTTTTCTTCTGTGTCTCAGCAACTTACTGTGCAGAGCTGTGGTTTATGTAAGGCTTTTTCTTTTCCTTCCCCAGTGTGAAACTGTAAATGATTTGGGACCGAGTTTTTGTGCCTTGGATAAAGCACTCTATACATTTTAATGAGTTTCTAATCTAAATGATTCAAATCTAAAAGCTGGCTTTCCCTTGAATACATGCAAGTAAAAAAGTTAAGGACTTGGAAAAATTTATTTTAGATTTTGCCAAATCCGACAATTTGAAATGCAGTTTAAATGTTTAGCCAAATTCAAAACATCACTGTGCTTATTCCTTTTGGACTAGAAGTTGCAGTTTGCCAAGAGACTGAATGAAAGTATATTCCCAAGCTATTTGGTCTTTTCAAAGGAATCTTCAGCCTTTGACAGTCTTTATGCAGCACTTTCACACAGCAATTTCATTATTTTTTGACCTGTCACTCTCTTTCTCCACCCCCCTTTCCTTCTACCTTGACCATGTGTTTTAGGTTATAGACTGACTCAAGAGAATGTGATGAATCAGGAATGCATCTAACTCTGGCTGAGTTCTTACTGTGTGTTTTAAAGTAGACATACATCAATTACTGCTGTATACCAGGCAGTGTGTCAAGTGCTTTATGTGTATTTAAATCTTCACACCAATCTTGTGATGTAAGTTTTATTTTCCCCATTTTACTAAAAAGGAACCTGAAAACTGTTTTTGAGGAATAAGCAATTTGTCCTGTTATAAAACTCCCAAGTTTAGAGCCAACACTGGAGATCAGGGCAGTCTAGACTAACATGTACCTCCTTCCTTGCCATCAAATACTCCTTTAGAATATTGTTGGAATTATATTTATACCAATACTATTTGATTTAAGGTTTTGTTTAGATTTTTTGATGTTAGATATTTTTCTTGATATCAACTATGCCTTTTTTACATTAAGACTAATATTTCATTAATATGAAGCAGAGAGTGTTTATAGATATACTGAATAATAAAGTAAGGATTCCAAAAGATTTTTTTGACAGCATTCAATAAGAAACTAAATTTTGAAGGATAAAATATAGTAGGAAAAATACTAGTTATATTGTACATGTTTCCTAAAACAATTGCAGAAGTAGAGAATTGGTGAGGCTTGACTTGGTAAATTTTTGTTAGTTTATGAAATTTTGGAGATTTTCTTATGGAAACTCAATATAAGTAGTGTGCTGGATAGCTTTAATGTCAATTTTACACATCTGGGTTGAGGAAGCCTCAATTGGGCAATTGCTTCCATTGGACTGGCCTATGGCCATGTCTGTGAGGCATTTTCTTGATTGATGAATGATGTGGGAGGACCCAGCCCACTGTGGGTGGTGCCACTCCTGGGAAGGTTGTTCTGTGTTGTATAAGAAAGCAGGCTGAGCATGGACCAGGAGAGCAAGCCAGAAAGCAGTGGTCTTCCATGGCCTGTGCTCCAGCTCCTGTCTTCAGGTTCCTGCCCTGAGTTCCTACCTTGGACTCCCTGATGAATAAACCTTTTCCCAAATAAGCCTTTTCCTCCCCAAGTTGGTATTACTCAGAGTATTTTGTCACAGCAATTTAAGGCAAACTAGAGCAAGAGGTGATGTGGATTAGTTTGAATTTTGGCTGCATTAAAGGGATTATATATATTAGCTAGATAGGTAAAAAATATAATTTTCAACTTCTGTATTCTGGTTAGAGTGCATGTGGTTTAGGAACAGTTTTAAAAGTTATATGGACATAAGTGAATTTAGAGTGGGAGATACACAAGAGTAGGCATTGTCTTCCTAAAACATAGCTGTTTTATTCAAAGTTCTCTGAAGAAAGAGAACTGAGAAGTTGTGGGGAGGTGGGAACGGAGTGAAGGGGGATTTAATTTAAGGATTTGGCTCACATGATTACGGAGACTTGGCAAGTCCAAAATCAACAGGGCATGAAAAGATGCTGAGAACTCAGGGAAGAGTTGTAGTCTGAGTCCAAAGGTGGTCTGCTGGTAGAATTCCTGCTTCTTTTCAGGGAAATCAGTCTAGTGAGACCTTCAGTTGACTACATGAGGCCCAAGGACATTATGGAAGTGTTGCAGGTTTCCTAGCAGGTCCAGCCCACGAGGGATTGCAGGGAATGAGGGTTCTGGTCAAGGTCGAGGTGAGTGGCGTGGAATCAACACACAGACTCCAGGAGTCGGTGAGAACAGGCACTAGGCGAGGTGCTGCAGACTCGTTTATTGCTGGCAAGTGCAAGCCTTATATATCTCTCTCCCTGCCCCCAGTGTCCCATAAGTTGGTGTATCGCTTCCTGATAGATCCCCTTTTCTGGGCAGATTGTAGGTTGGCTATTTTGCGGAAGCACAGGCTGCACTCCCAAAGTGGAAGCTGTGCTCCCTAGTGCAGCCTGTGCTTAGGCCTGGCACTTCCTCTCCTACATGGAAGGTAATCTGCTTTATATAAAGTCTACTGATTTAAATGTTAACTTCATCTTAAAAGTGCCATCACAGAAACATCTAGCATATTTAACCAAATATCTGAGTACAATGATCCATTCAAGCTGACACATAAAATTAACCATCACCATAGCAGGCATTGAATAGATAATTCTTGAATGTATGAATTTATTAAAAATTATCTGTAGACAGTTGAAGGAGATGGTTATGTCTAACTGGAGGACACAGGATAAAATGACTGTCTTTCAATATTTGATTTTTTAAAATTTATTATTTTAAGTAATTTTTTTTAATGTGTATAAGTGTCTTGCTTGCATATATGTAAGTGTACTGGTGTCGTGCAATGCCCTTGGAGCTCAGAAGAGGGTGTCAGATTCTCCTTGAGCAGTTAGTTGTTAACCCTGGGAATTGAACCCAGGTTCTCTGCAAGAGCAACCAGTGCTCTTAACCACTGAGCAGCTCTCCAGCCCCTGTCTTTCAATATTTGAAGAGTTTGGTGATGCTACACAAAACTGAGGGCAGGGCATGAGTCTACAGGCAGCAATCAAGTAGGTAGAGAGACACAAAACAGACATCTGTTCATTCCTTTGCCTAGTATCATCACTTAAGAATCTTCCAGGTATAAGATCAATACATTTATCTCTTAAAAAATTAGCTGCCAGGACTCCTGGGGTGGAGGGTGTTAAGGTTCAGATAGCCCTGCCCCCTCACCAACAGGGCCTCATGGATCTCACCAGCCCCTGAGAAAAGGGAACTGAGTTGATAAGCACCCTGGTCTTTGAAGTCAAGAGAAACAGACTTTTCTCCACTGTTTGGCCAACACATCAGGCTTCCCCTTTGATCTCTAAAGGGGGCAGCTTTTAACAGTCTCCCCCCCCCCGCCTAACTTTAAAAAAAAATATATTTTCCCGCCTTCTGCACCCCCCAGAAGCCTCCCCCTTTAAAAGACCCCAGCTCACGACCCAGGCTGATATTTTCCCTGCCTGGAAGGGAATCTGTCCCACGTGTTCCTTTGCTAATAAACTCTATTCTGATGGAGTTTTATCTGTGTCCTGGTGCTTTCTCCTGACCAACCAGATTCATCTATCACCTACTTTATCTGTCAGAGGGTAGATTAGAAGTTGCCTCTGTGTCAGAGCCCTTAATGAAAAGTGGCAGTAATAAAAGGATAGATGCTCTTCAAAAGAGAGGAAGAGCACCAGAAACCACAAAAGCACTTGTAGAACCAAAATGGCTGTAAACCATGCAGAAACAGGCTATGCATGAATATGAGTCTGGAGCTAAGCCCTGGCTTCCAGGTGGGGGAGGAAGCTGAAGCCTCACCCACAATTCTCACAAGTCTTAAATCCAGTTGGAGGATTTGGTGTCACAGTGACTCTGTATGAAGGTCAGCATTGGAGAAGAAATCTACTTTGTTATTTCCGGAATCTTGGAGTGCTATTGCCAGGAAACATTTTGAAAGGAAGCCTATTATTTGAGATTGAGCTATTCTGGATGCCTGAACCTTCCTACCATCTCTGTCATGGAGATTAGGAGACTAGAATATGGACATGCTGAGTTCAGGTGGTTGGAGGTTCACCATTTAAAGGGCCTGGTGGTTGTTGGCACTGTTTGTAGTGGTGAGGAGTAAACCCCATCATAGGAGATTAGGAGACTAGAATATGGACATGCTGAGTTCAGGTGGTCAGAGGCTCACCATTTAAAGGGCCTGGTGGTTGCTGGCACTGTTTGTAGTGTTAAGGAGTAAGCCTCATCAC